GAGCTCCAGGTGCGAGTGGGGCCTGTGTGAGCTCCAGGTGTGAGTGGGGCCTGTGTGAGCTCCAGGTACATGCAGAGGCCTGTGTGAACACTGGGTGCATGCAGAGGCCTGTGTGAGCTCCAGGTGCAAGTGGGGCCTGTGTGAGCTCCAGGTGCGTGCAGAGGCCTGTGTGAGCTCCAGGTGCGAGTGGGGCCTGTGTGAGCTCCAGGTGCGTGCAGAGGCCTGTGTGAGCTCCAGGTGCGTGCAGAGGCCTGTGTGAGCTCCAGGTGCGTGCAGAGGCCTGTGTGAGCTCCAGGTGTGAGTGGGGCCTGTGTGAACACTGGGTGCATGCAGAGGCCTGTGTGGTCTGGATGCAGCTGAGACCTGGGTGAGCTCCAGGTGCAGCTGAGGCCTATGTGGTCTGGGTGCAGGTGAGGCCTGTGTGAACTCTGAGCAAGCTCAAGAAGGAGGCCCCACTGCTGTTCCTGGAGCAAGGTAAGAGGGATGCATGTGGCCTGGCTCAGAGGATGTCCATGCATGGATGGAAGTAGAAAAGACAGATCGCCGGAGCCAGAAAAGCACCAGAGGCCAGGCACAGTGGCTCGCACCTGTAATCCTGGCACTTTGGGATACCAAGGTGGGAGGATTACTTGAGTACCGGAATTTAAGACCAGGCTGGGCAACAAGGTAAGCTCCTATTTCTACAAAGAATTTTTTAAAAATTAGTGGCATGTGGTGGCACACACTTGTAGTCCCAGCTACTTGGGAGGCTTGGGCAAGAGGATCACTTGAGCCCAGAAAATGGAGGCTACAATGAGCTATGATCATGCCACTGCACTGCGGCTTGGGCACCAGAGTGAGATTCTGTCTCTAAAAAGAATTTTAACATAAATTTAAAAAGAAAAGCACCAAAGCATAGGTAAAGCCTGTTTCCGGGCCTCAGAGGGCAGCAATGGTTGCCACAGCAGGACAAGGTGCAAGGAGCAAGATGCTGAAGCCTCATGTGTGGGGTGCTGTCCCCATGGCCACTGCTGCCAGGACGACCCCTTCTCTGTGTAACAGGGCCAGGCTTGGGGGCACAGGAAGGAGTGAGAAGGAGAGGAAAGGGGCATGCATATTGAGAACCTGTAGATGTCACATGCTTTTTGTATGCATGCTCATCATATTTGCAAGAGCAAACTCCAAGGCCAGTGTTACTGTGACCACTTAAGAGTGAAGAAAACTGAAGACCAAAGAAGTAAGGTAACGTATGCAAGGTCCTGTGGGTAGGAAGAGAGGGGACCAATTTGAACAGACTGGCCCTCTTTCCACTGAGCCATCCACTATCCTTCAACATAGCACAGGGAATATGATTGCATATGAGGAAGCTCTTTCACATAACAATCACTCTGAGTTTTGTTATCAGTAAGATTTCACTGCTTCAAATTAGTAGTGAGCACACATCGTCAACAATGCACTTGTCAGGTTGGAGTAGAACAAGTATCATTCTGGCATTAAATAAGACGATGAACTTAACATACAAAAACTTAAACATATGGTATCCAGCAAACATGAGTTAATATCGTACTTCTTTCCTTTAGATTCCAGGCTGTCATTCTGAAAATACTTGGGGCCATTATCAAATAACTCTAAGGAATTTTGAGTAGGGAACTCAACAAGCCAAACACTTTTAAGCATTTAAGGAGGCCACAGTGGATATTAATGTAGGACATGGACAAGAATTTTCATGCATCAAAATTCTTCTTGGGGTATATATTGTATATATTCTTCTTGGGGTATATATTGTATATATTGTTTTGGGGTATATATTGTATATGAGCAGCTAAAGAAAGGGGTCCTATGATCCAAGATGGCTGATCACTAGCAGCTCGGGATTGTAGCTCCCACTGAAAGTGCAGAGAACGAGAGGACGCCACACTTTCAGATGAATTTTTGTTGCTCACGCACCAGGAGATTCCCAGCGGAAGAGCCCCACGGGTTGCCAGCGCGACTCTTGTGGCCAGCGAGGCGGTTTTGCCGCTGCCTTGGTGCCGCGGTTCTTGGTGCAGAGTCAGAAAAGCACCATCAATCTTAACGCCACTGTTTTCGCTGGCACAGTGGGTTGCTCAGATTCTAGCGCCGGGAATCAACAAGTTGGACGTCCATTCAGAAACCCAACTATAAAGATGGTAATTATAAAGACCACAGATGGATAAATCTATAACGAAGGGAAGAAACCAGCCTAAAAAGGCTGAGAATACCCAAAATCAGAACACCTCTCTCTCTACAGGGATCACAGTTCCTCATCAGCAACGGAACAAGGCCTGATGGAGAAAGACTGTGTCCCATTAGCAGAAGCAGGCTTTAAAAGGTGGATGATAAGAAACTTCTGGGAATTAAAAGAACTTGTTCTAACCCAATGCAAAGAAACTAAGAACTTTGAAAAAAGGTTTGACGAAATGTTAACAAGAATACACAATTTAGAGAGGAATATAAGTGAATTAATGGAGCTGAAAAATACAACACGAGAACTTCGCGAATTATGCACAAGTTTTAACAGCCGAATTGATCAAGCAGAAGAAAAGATATCAGAAGTCGAAGACCAACTTAATGAAATAAAACGAGATGACAAGATTAGAGAAAAAAGGATAAAAAGGAACGAGCAAAGTGTCCAAGAAGTATGGGACTATGTGAAAAGACCTAATCTACGTTTGATAGGTGTACCTGAATGTGATGAAGAGAATCAATCCAAGCTCAAAAATACCCTTCAGGATATTATTCAAGAAAACTTTCCCAACCTAGCAAGGCAGGACAATATTCAACTCCAGGTAATACAGAGAACACCACAAAGATATTCCTCAAGAAGACCAGCCTCAAGGCATATAATCGCCAGATTCACCAGGGTTGAAATGAAAGAGAAAATACTGAGGGCAGCCAGAAAGGTCAGGTAACCCATAAAGGGAAGCCTATGAGACTCACAGCAGATCTCTCAGCAGAAACCCTACAAGCCAGAAGAGAATGGGCGCCAATATTCAACATCCTTAAAGAAAAGAACTTTCAACCCAGAATTTTACATCCAGCCAAACTAAGCTTCATAGGCGAAGGAAAAATAAAACTTTTGTGAACAAGCAAGCACTCAGAGATTTCATCACCACCAGGCCTGCTTTACAAGAGCTTCTGAAAGAACCACTACAAATAGAAAGGAACAACCAGTATCAGCCTTTCTAAAAAATACCAAAAAATAAAGAACATCAACATAATTAAGAACTTACATCAACTAATGGGCAAAACAGCCAGCTAACGTTAAATGGCAGTATCAAACTCACATATATTATTATTAATTCTAAATTTAAATCGACTAAATCCCCTAATCAAAAGACACAGACAGGCAAAAAAAGCCAAGACCCATTGGTATGCTACATCCAGATCCATCTCACATGCAAGGATACACAAAGACTCAAAACAAAGGGATGGAGAAAGATTGACCAACCAAATGGAGAGCAAAAATAAATAAATAAATAGAAAGCAGGAGTTCCAATTTTTGCGATAAAATAGACTTTAAAGCAATAAAGATCAAAAGAATCAAAGAAGGATATTACATAATGATAAAAGGATCAATGTAACAAGAAGACCTAAAGATCCTAAATATATACGCACCTGATACAGGAACACCCAGATATATAAGACTTATAAAGAGACTTAGACTCCCACACAATAACAGTGGGAGACTTCAACATCAATATTAGATAGATCAATGAAACAGAAAGTTAACAACGATATCCAGGACTTGAACTCAGATCCGGAACAAGTAGACTTAATTAACATTTATAGAACTCTCCACTTTAAATACACAAAATATACACTCTTATCAGTACCACATCACACCTATTTACAGGTTTAAATGAAATATTGGTTGGCTGCTTATTAGTTATTTTCTTCCCTCATTTTTTTTTCATGTCTCTATTATTAAACACAATTATAGGCATACCCATTTTTAGGCTGCATTCTAGCCCGGGCAATAAAGCAACACCCCTGTTCTTTCTCCCTCTTCCTCTTCCTCTTTCTTCCTTTCCTTCATTCTTTTTTTTTTATTCTCTCTTTCTTCTTCTAAAAAAAAAAAAAAAAGAACTTGTTGTTTCATGAATTATCCCAAAACTTTCATGTTCATTCTCTTTCCATCTCCTGAAATCTTTCTGCTATGATAGTCCCTGTAACTGAAGAGATAAGAAGGGATAGCCCTTTCATAATAAAACTGTGCTAAAAAGGACTTCAGGGCCTTCTGACTTGTGTATGAAAACAGTAAGGTAGACATGTCACATTCCATTCACAATTTTGGCCTTCTTTTTACATGGTATGTAACAGTAAATAATATTAGTATATCTTTAGTGAGAAGCAGTGGTTCTAATAAGGTATTGAATAACTGAATATCTGGACATCTTATTTTTCATACCCTTTGATTCATTTATAACAATAGGTAGCAGCATGCTTAACCTCTTTTGGACTCAATTTCTTTGGCTAGATTTTTATGATGATTACGTTGATTTCTTTCAAACAATTCAGACTAGAGAAATTCTCTTTATCAAAATTACCTTTTCTCTTACTATATGAACTTTGGTTTTCAAGATAGAGGAGGAAGCTTCTGAACTGGTAAATTATAAAACATATCTATTTAAAAATAAATTCAAATCCTCAGGAAAAAAGAAAGAAAGAAAGAAAGGGGTCCTATGAGACACCAAAGGGCACGGGGAAGTCACAGCAGAGTTCTTGTGGTTTTCTGAGCCCTCGGCACATCTGAAATGAGACTGGGTGGAGATGAAGTGCTTAACCCGATGGAGGTGATAGGAGCTGGCCAAGGCTGGGTGCTGAAGAAGGAAGAAAGAAGCCTGCCTCCCAGCTGTGGCCAAGAACAAATGAAGAGGAACAGTGAGCAGACGAAATGGCAAGGAGGAATTTTTAGGATTTCACCGTAGAGTGTGCAATGTAATCTCCCTTCTCCATTTTCCACCATAAAGTCTTTAGTAATTCTGCCATGCTCATCACAGCTGCAAAGGGATTCCTTTGGGGGGAACTAAATGAGGTGTAAGTGCTTCGCTCTGACTGAGGCATGGATAGAAGGCACAGACACAGGATGGTGAAAGGATGGCTAGTTGACCCCCAAATAAGCTGGCCCTGTAATGGACTTCAAGGAATTCATAGTGTAAAAGAGGGACCAGTAGTTGGGAGCAGGGGCACAGGAAGGAGAGGTCATCTTGAGTTAGATGGGTGCTATGGTTTAAATGTGTCCCACATACCACGTGGCATATCTCACATGGTGCCAGTGTTCATGTGCTGGGAACTTAGTCCCCAGTGCAATGGTTTTGGAATGTGGGACTTCTAAGAGGTGATAAGGTCATGAGGGTTCTGTTTGCAAAATGAGTTAACGCTGTTATCAAGGGAATGACTTCCTGCTAAAAGGATGAGCTCACCCCCTTACTTCTTGCTCTCTTACTATGTGATTCCTTCTCCCATGTTGTGACACAGCAAGAAGACCCTTATCAGATGCAACTCCTCAATCTCGGACTTCCCAGCCCCCAGAACCCAAAGCAAAATAAACTCCCATTGTCTTTAAATTACCCCATCTGTGGTACTATACCAACACAAAATGGACTAAGCCAGTATGTCAGGAAAGGTTTCTTGAAGGATGGTGTATCAAGTTAGGCTCCACAGAATGGGTACCATTTTGATGAGCAGGTATGTAAAAAAGAAGAACAAGCCCTTTATCCAGCATGGATACGCAACATGAGAGACAGCATTGAGCTGGCAAACACAGGGCATGCGTTTCACCTGCCATCCTCAGCATACACTTGGAATCTTCCTTAACACCATCACTGAGGCTGGCAATACCCAATGACGGCTATTTGTAGAGAGATTGCAGGTGATTCTTTATCCTGGGACCCTAGCCTGCAGCTGCAGCCTCAGCATAGTTACTCACAGTGCCCCTTTCACCCTGGAGTGTCCCAGGCTGAAAGGACAAGTGCTGCCTTACTGCTTAGGCCATGAAGGCCAGCCAGAGGGGCGAGGCAGTAAGTTACTGAAATGATAAAGCAGGTCTGCCAGAAGGTAGATGGGACAGTGCCCTGTGGAAAGGGTGGGAAGAAGGCTGCCCACCAGTGGGCTGCATGGGGGATAACTGCAAGAATCCAGGAGGTGGTCGTGAGAATCAGGACTAAGACAGTTGTGGAAACAGGAAAAAAATGGAGCTGCACAAATCCTGGGGACAAAGGAGGTATCAGGGCACAGAACTAAATGGATTCTGCTCCTTGCTTCCCAGGAGGGATCTATCTTTAAGGATTATTCTTCCCCCATTACAGTCCATTCAAGGTGATCCAAGGGCCACTCAGTGTGTTAGTCCATTTTCACACTGCTGATAAAGATTTACCTAAGACTGGGCAATTTACAAAAGAAAGAGGTTTAACGGACTCATGGTTCCATGTGGCTGGGGAGGCCTTACAGTCATGGCAGGTGAAAGGCACATTTTACATGGTGGCAGACAAGAGAGTTTGTGCTGAGAAATTCCCCTTTATAAAACCATTAGATTTTGTGAGACTTATTCACTATCATGAGAATGGCACAGGAAAGACCCACCACCATGATTCAATTACCTTTCACCAGGTCCCACAACACATGGGAATTATGGGAGCTACAATTCAAGATGAGATTTGGGTGGGGACATAGCCAAACCATGTCATTCAACCTGCAGTTATAAAAGGCCAATCAGCATCTTTAGAAAGTGTAGTAACTCTCAAGTTCCTTGTAAGTTATGTCAGCACCTAATTATTTTACATGAACAACATTTAGCTTCTGACTTCAGCTAGATGAATATGAGATGAAACATTCAATTGAGTTGATAATCAACAGCTACTGATTTAAGTAGCAAAACATTATGTTTTGATCTCAATTTCTAAGCTCTTGAAAAATGATGATTTTTCAAGAGCTCAAAAGTTATGCAACTTCTTACGTACTGTATAACAAGGAAGGGCGGGGGGATCATTCTCTCCTTAAATTGAGAATAACCTAAGTGTTGCTCACACAATTAGGAACAGCAGAAAAAGGAAGTTCACAGATTCTGGATTAATGTTTGTTAAAATGAAATACAAACCACTTCAGATGTGTCTATTCCACTGTCGGCTAATATTTGAGCGAGAATTTTCTCTCTTCCTTTTATTACTTCCAACTTCTCCTTCAAAAAATACTTGGGTATGGGAATATCTAATTGTTGCTAGAGAAGAGAAAGAACAAACAAGAGCATTTCTGTCACAATTCCAGCACTTGAATTTATTTAAAGTATACAGTAAGGATGCAGATGCACATGTCAAAGATGCTTGCCTTACTTCCCATTTTCATTTAAGAAAAAAATGAGGCCAGTGGAGTGAAGAAAATTCATTTACTAAAGAGACACAAAGTCAAAAAGAAAATTGTAACCATAACCCCTGCTTTAATAATTACAGAATAACGTCAGGAGTGCACATCAATTAGGCCTCGATTAACTAATGATCACTTAGTGGATTTCTTTAAAGAAATACAATATTACCCCATTTTACCTAAAATAATGGTTGAAATTGGAGTAGTAAAGTATTCAGGAATAGAGATCTTTGAATTATACCTAATAATTTATCATTAGCACCATAGACTATTTGTATGTAAATGGTCACATTTTTTCCCTCATAATTTGGTTTTATTTTTACCAAAATTACCCATTGCAAAAATTATTTGCAAAATTAATTGCTTTATTATGAAAATTGTTTTTATATAATAAACTTCTATCATTCATTTGTGCATGTTACCAAATATTTCAAACTAGCAGGGGTCAGATGAATATTTATCAGTCCAAATTGGGTAGAAAGGCATATAGAAGTACTGTATAAGGATATGGGTATGCCTTCCACCAATCCCACTGAGAAACATCATCCTGGAATCTCTGTCAGACCCCGTGGCTGCTTTGACCAGGGAAGCAAAGGTCTTTGTCTTCAGAATTGGCTACCTTATTTATTTATTTTTTTTCCAATTCTAGGTGTGACTCTCCATAACCTCCCTCCAGCACAGAGAATTCTGGATAGGCCTTCCCCTCAGTACATGTTAAAGCCTAAGAGGGTATCATTTCAAGGACTTGGTGGGACAGTATCCCCATGGCTTCTGACTGTCTTGGGACAGTATCCCATGACCATGTCTTTTGAACATAAAACCTTTCTTAGGTTTGTGGAGTGTTGGGAGTGACTGAAGAGTGAACCAGCAGAGTCTAGTGGGTGAATGTGGCCTGGGGAGAGAGGGCGGTCAGAGAAGAATGACGACACTTTGATTTAATGTGATTTTATTTACCAATAAGCACATTCAAGTGTGGTACTTTTAAGGCAAAATTCATTATGTTATAGTTCCATCTGGTCCGTTTCATATCATAAAATTACAGTTAGCAGGCCAGGCATGGTGGCTCATGCCTGTAATCCCAGCATTTGGAGAGGCTGAGGTGGGTGGGTCATCTGAGGTCAGGAGTTTGAGACCAGCCTGACCAACATGGTGAAACCCCGTCTCTACTAAAAATACAAAAATTAGCTGGGCATGGTGGCGCACACCTGTAATCCCAGCTACTTGAGAGGCTGAGAGAGGAGAATGGCTTGAACCCAGGTGGCAGAGGTTGCAGTGAGCCAAGCTTGCACCATTTAATTAAACCTAATAATTTTGCATCAAGAGCAACACTCCATCTCAAAAAAAAATTATAGTTAGGATTTTGAGGATGAGGAAACAGTCACTGAGAATGGAAGAGAGGCGAAGACAGATATTAGTTGCTCCATCTCCAGCCATGATGCCTTCCATGTCCATCCCTGATACCATAGGACTTTTCATTTCCTATGGAGTGGAATCTAGGAAGCCTCTGGCAGCAGAGAAGACCTCTTCCCCACCATATGTTTCTCTCTTTGAGGTGGGCCTATCAGGAAAGGTTCCTCATGTGGCAGGTTACAGATGTAGTCTTTGGACTAGTTTAGCTAAAAGGGGCAGTTTAAGGAAAAATTTGGGGAACTCATGGAACCAAAAGGAAGAACCTAACTGGGTGTTTGTCAGCACTGGGGATGTGGCCAAGAATGAAGATGCCTTCAGCCCAGCCCAACCACATGGGCTGCAGTGACAGCACATGGTTCAGTCACTATTTCCAGGACTGCCGGAAAACACTGTTGACTGCCCTCTGCATGAAGGCGTCCTGGATGCCATCTGCTCATTTGTCACCCCTCTTGGTGTTTGGGGCCCCATCCCCATGGCAACAGACACAGGGCCTTTAAGAAGATGAAGTCCCTGGAGCAGAGGGGCTGGCTGACGCAGCAGGAAAGGCAGGGCCATGAGGGACCACCACATAGAGCCCCAAGTGTACTATTCCTAACAGATGGAGGCATGACTTCGTATCCTTGAAATTAAACTAATAAATGTAATATGACTTCATTAATTAAATTTAGGAATATGATTTCATAACTACTTGTTTCACAGTTATCCTAAATTGTTCATATTTCACTTTAGTGAGTAAAGTATACTGGATTAAATCTGGTGATTAACCCATGCTCTTATAAATAAATGCAATAAACATAAAACTTTTGAAATAATCGTCAACATTTTCATTCATTTCAGTTATTCTCATTACTCCATTCTGATAAAATAATAATGTGAGGAAAGTCTACCTCAGAAAGATACCTTTATAAAAGCCCAAATATTTTCATGGAGAAGAAACATGAAACCCTATGTAGAATATTAAACACTTTCTCCTTTTGATTTTATTTCAAGAACATGTTCCTTTCAAAATGAAGGTGGGCTCCCAGGACCATGACACTGAAGGGAGGTGGCCAGTGGCCCCGGCAGCCCAGCCAGCCTGAGTCAGAAGAGAGGTCCTGTGCCAGTAGGAAGGTCAGAGGGCAGCAGCAGGAAGGTCAGAAGGCAGCAGCAGGAAGGTCAGAGGGCAGAAGCAGGGGCCGAATGCTCGCAGGAGGGAGCTGTGGTTGCCAAGTGCTAGCAGGGAAAGCTCCAGGGAGAGAGGGAATGAGGGGGATAGAGACAGAGCGAAGGAGGGAGAGCAAACACGTGAGCTCTTCTTTGGCATCTGAGGCCCACAGCCACATAAGCCATACATTCCCCTGGGCCACCACTGACTCAAAGTAAGGAGGAGGTGCATGCACCTGGCGATAGGGAACCTGCGATCAACAGGCTACCATGGGAGATTTCCCATGGAAACAGAGGGGAGTGGGAGCTGCTCCTGGACTCTGGGAGGGTCTGTGCTTCAAGGGTGCTTATGAAAGGGCTGGCCCACTGCATTCCAGCGGTCCTGTGCAGACACCACAGCGTCAGGTAAGACCACAGCCGCAGCAGCACCCAACACAGCCAAGAAGTGTGCAGATACATCTACACCAGAAACAAAGGGAACCCAATCCTTGTCCACGACAGCAGGGTGTAATTGAAGGGAAATGTTTAGATTTTCCATACATCAACTAGTCAACATGGACAGGCAGTCTGTAGAGTATCAGATAAAGGGCTACATATCTCATTTATAACAAAAAGCAACTGAGAAGAAAACAACGGAGTGCTTACGGGGGTCAGCTTTAGATCCTGCAGGATGTCATCAAAATAATGGAACTCCGTGAGTTCCAGTTCCACCATCTCGTTCTTCAGCTCCAGGACGCGGCCCATCACCCCGTCCAGGACTTTCCTGATCAGTATTCGTTTCTGGGGGTGGATGATCTGGTCATAGACATTCTCCAGGTTTCTAAAGATCTGCACATACTTTATGTAGAAGGTGGCTAATGTTTGGAAGATGAACACTTGATTTCTCTGTGGCTCAATCATCTTCTGAGACTCTTTATCGAGTAAAGCACTGAGGGCTTCTTGCGTCTGATGCCATATCTTATCATACATTCTAGGGGAAGATAGAAAATTTAGATGGCACAGTAGATAAAAGTTACTTGGTAAAACATAAATATTGGGCATCTGGTATAACAAAATATAACACAGAATCAAGTGTGAGCCAAGAACGTCGTATGTAGTTGCAAGGCTTGCTAGATAATTTATATCCTGTTCTGAGGTCCTCATGATTTCTGAATAGGCACACCACTATTGTCATCAAATAAATGGTTTTAAAAGCATTTTGTCTAGATGATATAAAGTTTTTCCTCACTTTACCCAGGAAGCTACTATTATTATATCCATTTAAAAGATGACAAAGTTGAAAGCCAGAATAGTTAACTGATTTGTCCATATACGCAGCTGGTGAAGTATACATTGGAACAACAGCTCTAAAAAGTAATGTAGCATTTTCTTATTAAGTTAAACATATGCATACACTATGAATGAATAATTACACCCTAGAGAACCTTTAAAATACGCATCAAGAATGATCACAGTAGCATTTTAAAAATAATAGTAAAAAACCTGGAGAAAACCCAGATGTTCACCAATAAGAGGGTGGATAGATAAATTGTAGTATATTCACCAATGGACTATTACACAGCAGTGAAAAATGAATGACTGAGCTACAATGAAAGGCAACAACTAAGAATCTTAGAACCATAATGTAAAGTGTAAGAAATGAAGTGCAGACTGTGGCCTGGGAGGCGGAGCTCTGTGTAATGCACCAGCTGGGCTCTCTGCCCTCATTCTAGTGAGTTGAGTCAATGGAATGAACAGAGAAGAAGCCAGAGAGTAGAAGAGTTTGACCCTCTTGTTCACCCCCAGCGAGGCAACAAAGGCTGGGTGTGCCCTTCTGCCAAAGGCTTAAGATGGTGGTGGCTCTGCTGTGGCTGGCCCTGGGATACTGCTCCATCCCTTGCTGGTTTCCCTACACTGCGTCCACATCTTTGTTACTGGTCCCTTTATTAGGACCTGATAAGTGTCCTCCCTTTTCCTGCCAGGGCCAACACATTCATGGTGGAGATTCCAACCTCCCCCCACCCCGGCCCCTGCCCATCACATTTCAGGTGATTTTTTTTTATTTTGCTTTTACATTCATGAACCAGGACTGAAAAATGAACTGGAAAGTCAGTGTGTCTGGGAAGGGGTTTTGCTGCAGAAAGTGGGTGTGTAGAGTCCTGACCACTGATGAAGGAAAACCTCCCACATGTCGGTATCTCTCTGTAAGGTCTTTCCCTATGCCAAGGGGAGAGGGCAGCCGTCCACTCCCATGGCTACCTGTGCCTGGCGTCCTGAGTCCAGGTTGCCTGCATGTGCCATCTTGTGCCTGGCTGGCAGTGGCTTAGCCACTTGCTCTCTGGGGTATACAAGTGACTGGCAGCCTAAACGTGGCCTGTACAGACTTACAAGCAGTCTTCCAATTTCAGCCCTGCCCCAGAAGGACCAGGCCCTTCCTGTCTTCCCAGGGGAACAGCTGCTTTTGATCCTACCAGCCCCATCCGCTGGCTTTCAGGTCCCACGTTCTCTGCTCTTCCTCCATCCCCTCTCATCCATGCCTGCTCTCCCTTTCCTGCATTTTCTCTTTTTTCGTTTGAGATGGAGTCTCACTCTGTCACTGGAGTGCAGTGGTACGATCTTGGCTGACTGCAGCCTCTACCTCCTGGGTTCGAGTGATTCTCCTGCCTCAGCCTCCTGAGTAGCTGAGACTACAGGCATGTACCACCATGCCCAGCTAATTTTGTGTTTTTAGTCGAGATGGGGTTTCTCCATATTAGTCACGCTGGTCTCAGACTTCCAACCTCAGGTGATCTGCCCGCCTCTGCCTCCCAAAGTGCTGGGATTACAGGCATGAGCCACAGTGCCCAGTGAGATTGGGTAATTTATAAAAAGGGGTTTAATTGGTTCACAGTTCCACAGGCTGTACAGGAAGCATGGCAGCATCTGCTTCTGGGGTGGCCTCAGGAAGCTTTTACTTATGGTGGACGCAAAGTGGGACCAGGAGTCTCACACGGCAGGAGCAGGAGAGGAGGAAGGGCGGGGAGGTGCCACACATGTTTAAACAATCCGTTCTCACTCACTGTCACCACAAAAGGGGAAATCCACCCCATGATCCAATCACCTCCCACCAGACCCCCCTCCAGCATTACGGATGACAATTTGACAATTTCACAGGAGAGTTGGGTGGGGACACACGTCCAAACCAATATCACACAGAACACACCCTCACTCCTGGAGGAATCAGTGACCCATAAATGATTATATTGATCAGGGACAACCACCACCATTACTCGAAAGAACAACAGTAAAAGCAACACCTCATGCTGGTTCAAAGCTCCCGGGACTCTGACATTCCACTTGCCCCACCTCAAACAGACAAGCAGGAGGGGCTGGGAGAAGCAACGATGTCGAAGATGATCAAGGGAACGGTGTGGCTGTGGACAATGATGAAGAGCAGAGGCTGAGCACCGTGTGAGTCTCCCAAAGCCCAGACTTCTAGGACCCGAGAAGGGAGCGTAAACCCAAGGCACTCACTGGCCTGAGTGAGGACACAGGCTGGACATACTAACAGGTGTGACGACTGTTGACATAAAATAGAATAGTGCTCAAGCTGCTTTGTGGACTTAGTAGGGTTTGGGGCCAGGACAACATTCAAAAGGAAAATGACAGGCTAATTTTGTTGAGAATTCAGATCTGAAATTCCACTTAGAAAACAGACCACAGCTCCAGATCAAAACAATTGTTCCCTCTAACCCAGGAGGGGTGACTGCAGGAGTGCCTTTCAGTTCAACACAGAGGAAAGTATAACTCCATACAGCGACGGACCGGTAAAACCCCAGCTTGTTTCACAGACGCCAAGAAGATGCTCAGTAAACTGTAACCAGCGGCACAGGCCTGATTAAAACGCCCTCCCCACACCCCAAGAAAATGAGGATGATGATTGCTTCAAAGTGCCAAAAACCAGTGACCCAATGGACCTTCAATGGTGAAATGCTAGAAATATGCCCTCAAAAATGGCAGTAAAAAGGGATGAGGGAGATACACAAAAAATTAATATAAACCATTTTTAACACCACTGCTTGTAAATGGCATGACTGTAAAATCCAAGGAAATCACTAACAAAAAATACATCAGTTACTACAGGAAAGGCCGGGCATGGTGGCTCACGCCTCTAATCCCAGCACCCGGTGGCTGAGGTGGGTGGATCACTTGAGGTCAGGAGTTCCAGATCAGCCTGGCCAACATGGTGAGAACTGCAGGTCTATTAAAAACATAAAAATTAGCTGGGCATGGTGGCGGGCACCTGTAATCTCAGCTACTCAGGAGTCTGAGGCAGGAGAATTGCTTGAACCGGAGGTGGAGGTTGCAGTAAGCCAAGATCTCACCACTGCACCCCAGCCTAGTCAACAGAGCGAGATTCTGTCTCAAAAAAAAAAAAATTACAACAAAATTGCAATACTTTAATGCAGAGACAAAACATGAAAGAAGAAACCCATTCACAGCACTAATAATGAACATTAAATATTTAAGAATTCACATGGTGGGAGCCCCACAAAATCTAGCTAAAGAAAATTCTATAATGCTAGTTACAGATCGGAGCAAGCAGAAGACACACTATATGCTCCTGTCTAAAAGACAAAACCTGTCTCTACCAAAAACAACAGAAATCAGCCAGGCATGGTGGCATGCACCTGTAATCCCAGCTACTTGAGACGCTGAGACAGGAGACTCACTTGAACCCGGGAGGTGGAGGTTGCAGTGGGCCGAGATCAGGCCCCTGCACTCTAGTCTGGGTGACAGAGCAAGACTCCATCTCAAAAAAAAAGGAAAAAAAAAAAAAAAGGCAAGCTATGAAAACAGAAAACTCTCCAGACAGACATACAGATTTAATATGCCCAAGAATTCAGTAACAATAGACTGAAGACTATAAATAAATCTAGCAATAATTTTTAAATATGGGAGTGGAACAGGCAGCAAAAGATAAAAGGCATCTCATCATACTTCCAACACTGGCCACAACAACAAGCATTAAGTTTGTACAATACCCTAAGGAGGGTGCCTCCCTGAAGTTCAGGTGGGATGACCTGAACCTTGCCAAGAACCAAAGCCATCAACAGCGAGAGATCTTGGGTTGAAGAGGCTCCTCCTTCCAACAGGGGAAACCACCGCTGAGCTGGTGGGAAAGAACATAGCCAGACTTTCCAGATGTCTGGACCTGCTGTCCAGACGGGGAGGCCAGCCACTCCAGGTCAGAGCCCTTATTGGCTTCAGTCGGGTCAGAGAAGCAGGACTTTTCCAGCGCCTCACAGAGCTGACTCGTACCTGGAATTTTTGGCCGAAGACAGTCCTGGTGGCTCGAGCCTTCCAGGTCCTGCCGCTTTTTTCGTCCCCACCTGCAGTCTGTCTGGGGATCCCTGTCTAGAGAGATCAGACAAATATTCCTGGCTGACAGGAAAGTGTTTAGCAGCTTTGAAAGTACACGGAACTCTGCATCATAACCTGTTTTCCTCAGGGCTGAGAGATGGCTTCATCTCTTTCTGCCAGACCCTCTTCCCTGGAGACTGTCTCTGGCTTCCCGCTCCCCAGCTGTCCTGATGCCTCTCCATGTGACCACACCCCATCATGCGTGGGGCTGCCAGGGACCTGGGCACCATGCCTTGGCCACGCCAGCCTGGGGAGCCCCCACTTTGCACTCAGCCCATCTGGTCTGGCGCCCCACCTCCTCACCCCGCAGCCCCAGCCTCCTTCTGCCTGAGCCCAGCCATGAAGGTCAAATGAGACAACAGAGGCAGCAAGATGATTTTTCATAAGAACATTGATGAGAGATAATTCACACAACATAAAATTCACTCTTTTCAAGTGTACAATTCAGTGATTTTTAGCACACAGTTGTGCAACCATCACCACTATCTAACTCCAGAACATTTTTATCACTGGGCAAGAAACCCACATCTGTGAAGCGGTCACTCCCCATTACTCATTCCTCCCCACCCTTGGCAACCACTAACCTAATTTCCATCTCTATTTGCCTATTCTGGACATTTCACAGAAGTGGAATCATGCAAGAGGGGGCGTCTGGTGCTGAGCTTCTCCTCGGTGTGGTGTTCTCAAAGTTCATCCACATGGTCACATACTTGGTACTTCGTTTCTTTTTATTGCCAATTTTCCTTTGTATGGATACATCACATTTTGTTTATCCATTTTTCAGCTGATGGACACTCGGGTTGTTTCCGCCTTCTTGGCTGCTGTGAATGATGCTGTTAGAAGCATTTCTGCCTCCGTTTCTGCGTGTACATATGTCTTTATTTTCCCTGGGTATGGCAAAGTGGTTTTTAAAGATAAAAGTGCTCTACATTTAAAATGCTGGTTTTTGTTTGTTTGTTTGTTTCTTGAGACGGCATTTCGCTCGTGTCACCCAGGCTGGAGTGCAATGGTGTGATCTTGGGCCACTGCAACCTCGGCCTCCTGGGTTCAAGTGATTCTCCTGCCTCAGCCTCCCAAGTAGCTCGGATTATAGGCGCCTGCCACCAGGCCCAGCTAATTTTTATATCGTTTAGTATAGACGGGGTTTCATCATGCTGGCCAGGCTGGTCTCAAACTCCTGACCTCAGGAGATCCACCTGCCTTGGCCGCCCAAAGTGCTGGGTTTACAGGCACAAGATAGAAACCAGTGTCCCGAGCAACTCATCCCCGGACGTCACTCAACCTCCTCATGCTTATGCCTCCCCACTGGCAAACCTGGGTGATGAGACGGACTCGCGACACCTCCGGGGACTACTCTGGGATGGTGATGTGGTTTGGCTGTGTCCCTACCCAAATCTCATCTTTGTTTTTTTCTTTTTATTTTATTGCATTTTAGGTTTTGGGGCACATATGAAGAACACGCAACATTGTCGCATAGGTACACACGTGGCAGTGTGATGTGCTGCCTTCCTCCCCATCACCTACATCTGTCATCTCTCCCCTTGCTATCTCTCCCCTACTCCCCACCCCCCACCGTCCCTCCCCTATTTCCCCCAACAGACCGCAGCGTGTAATGCTCCCCTCCCTGTGTCCATGTGCTCTCATTGTTCAACACCCGCCTATGAGTGAGAACATGTGGTGTTTGATCTTCTGCTCTTCTGTCAGTTTGCTGAGAATGATGGTTTCCAGGTTCATCATGTCCCTACAAAGGACACAAACTCATCGTTTTTGATGGCTGCGTAATATTCCATGGTGTATATGTGCCACATTTTCCCTGTCCAGTCTATCATTGATGGGCATTTGGGTTGGTTCCAGGTCTTTGCTATTGTAAACAGTGCTGCAGTGAACATTCGTGTGCATGTGTCCTTATAGTAGAATGATTTATAATCCTTTGGATATATACCCAGTAATGGGATTGCTGGGTCAAATGGAATTTCTATTTCTAGGTCCTTGAGGAATTGCCACACTGTCTTCCACAATGGGTGAGCTAATTTACACTCCCACCAACAGTGTAAAAGTGTTCCTATTTCTCCACATCCTCTAAAGCATCTGTTGTCTCCAGATTTTTTAATGATCCCCATTCTAACTGCCGTGAGATGGTATCTCAATGTAGTTTTGATTTGCATTTCTCTGATGACCAGTGATGATGAGCATTTTTCATATGTTTGTTGGCCTCATGTATGTCTTCTTTTGTAAAGTGTCTGTTCATATCCTTCACCCACGTTTGAATGGGCTTGTTTGTTTTTTTCTTGTAAATCTGTTTTAGTTCTTTGTAAATTCTGGATATCAGCCCTTTGTCAGATGGGTAGACTGCAAACATTTTTTCCCATTCTGTTGGTTGCCGTTTCACTCTAATGACTGTTTCTTTTGCCGTGCAGAAGCTGTGCCAAATCTCATCTTGAATGTAGTTCCCATAATCCCCACGTGTTGTGGGAAGGACCCAGTGGGAGTTAATTGAATCATTCGGGCAGTTACTTCCATGCTGTTCTCATAACAGTTCTCACCAGATCTGATGGTTTTATAAGGGGCTTTTTCCCTGCTTCACTCTGCACTTATCTTTGCTGCTGCCATGTGAAGAAGCGGATATTTGACTTCTGCCTTGATTGTAAGTTTCCTAAGGTCTCCCCAGCCACGCAGAACTGTGAGTCAATTGAACCTCTTTCCTTTATAAATCACTGTCTCGGATGTGTCTTTATTAGCAGTGTGAGAACAGACTAATTCAGACGGAATAACAGGTGTGAAAGTGTTCCTGGAATTTTTACTGTACCTTGTAAACAGAAGGTAGTATTTTATCCATGAGACTACTTAACAGTTTTAAAAATTATATGACTGGTTTCAGACTTGAGCATATGGCTTAGAAATATGACAGATTTTGAAGTCAGGAGGATTATGGGTGGAGAAGACTGAATATGACCATGAAAAAGACAGACTGTTATTCCTACAGCTAGGCAGTTTTCTTATAATGGAGGGTGTAGGATAGGAAAACACTTGAATATTCAAACATAGCATACACTTCCTTGGGAAATCAAAATATTGCAAAATGGGAATTCTTTCCAAGTTATTTTGCACATGATAAAACCTTCTGAATCTTCCCATCTTATCTAGTTTGCTCTCTTCTTTCCCAGATACTCCCCCTGCCTTCTTGCTCTAAAGAAGGCCTGGCTCTGTTTGGAAGCCCTCTCGGTAGAGGCTTCTGTTCCCCCCTGAACCCTCTGTCTCTGGCTGTGGGGCTAGGTCAAGGGGACCCCTTCCTTCACTGCACCTCCAGACATCTGCCTTTCCTCCTCCCAACACTCCCTGGCTTCGAATCCCATTTCATCTGATGCTGTCACCACTGCCCCTCAGTCACCATCATCTTTCCAGGCCACCTCCAGGGCACCCACCCACTGAACAGCATCTTGAAGCTGCCTTCCCACCTGTTCCATTGCTAAGTGCTGAGTTCCTCTCCCTAAAGCCAGCAACTCCTGGATCCCATGTCCTCTCAAGACTAACGATGTCACACCCTTCTCTATATCATTCTGGGTCATTCCCTCCCACACACAAACATTCCATTGTTTCCTGTCTCACAGCCATGTCCCCTGCCTCTAGCTGCCAACACATTTCCTTTCCTTTGCAGCAAAAGTCCTTTAAAGAGTTAGCTATGCTCATTGCCTACAGTTTCTCTCTCTCTACATTCACTTGGGTAAGTCTTTCTATCTCATCACACCACTGAATCAGCTCCTGCCAAGGTCACTGCTGAACTCTACACTGCCAAATCAACAGTCAGTTCTCAGTTCCTCCCCAGCTTGTCTCAGGAACACTTGACAGAGGAGAAAACAATTACTTCTCCTAGAAACACTATTATTTCTTCCACTTGCTTCTTCCTTATGGGTCATATCTTTGATTCCTTTGCTGGGTCTAGTCTTCTCCTCAGCCTTACTGTGGATGGTCCCAGGCTCGGTCCTTATACTTCTTTATTAATACTCATTCAATGTCTCACTAAGACCATCACAGGCTGACAGCGGGCAAGTGTATATTTCAGACATAAGTCTCGTTCCTGAACCCAAGATCTGAATATTTAACTGCCTATTTCAGCCCCACGTGATGCCCAATGGGCACTTCCAACTCAACAGCTCTTAAACACAACTCTTGATCTTCCCCACTCCCAAACCCTGGCAAGCTGTTAACTTTTTTGCTCCCATTTCTTTGCCTAGAAAATTGGGTGAGTAATAGCAAGAGTGCAGGCTGGAGCTACAGTGCCTGGCTTGGGCACTGTTTACTCGCTGTGTGAGCTACTTCACCTCTTCATACCCAAGTTCCCTCATTTGTCAAATGGAAATAACAATGTTAACAGCCCCTACATTACAGAGTTGCTGTGAAAAAGTTCAAACAGTGCCCACAGAGTCAGCAATGCAATACCCAATTGAAATTATTCTTATGAAGACCAAATGAAGTAACTTTGTGCAAGTGCTGTGTAAACGACACAGTGCGACGCACATACTCTTTTCAGTACCACTGCCACTTGAGTTTGTGAAAAGAAAATGACAATAATGCTTTCCCAAGATCTTTCTAGACTGAAATTTCAGGACCTGGGTGTTTTCACAAAGCAATGTATTTATTACTGTGAAAGTTTAACAACAACAAAAAAAGCAGACAAAATGGCATACTGCTTTTCAGCAATGGCCCCTAAGGGCTTGGCGGTTATAGGGAGGCTGCGAGCTCATCTTCATGGGGTGCTGGGCTCATGGGGGAGGGGGATCTAAGTGTATGACCTTCCTGCTCACAAGAAGCAGATACTCTGTCCTGAGGCATATCTGAATTTCCTGAAAGGAAAAAAACGTCGGTGAGAGGAGGGGAGCTGCGAAGAGAGTGGAGGAGAAAAGAAAAGAAAATAAGAGAAGCGAAGAGCAAGTCACCTTCAGGCTTGGGAAGCCCACCCCAGGGCTGTGGCCGGGAGCCCATCACTTACGCGTTCGACATTGCTGGCTACTTTCCCTCTTTCCCTCGCCCTCCGGGAAGCTCTTCCGTTGCTCTCTGAAGGACGGTGGCAGCGGGGGTCAGGGCACTATCAGAGCTACAGAGGACAGGGAGGGGGTCTTCAGGAGGGAGGAGCCGGGACAGCGATATCCTCTCACTCCGGGCAGGAAAAGGTGAGGCCGCGTTCGCGTCGCGGGCACGGAGCGCGCAGGCGCAGAGAAGGTGCTCGGCTCCTTCCAGTCGCCACCCTGAGACTCGCGAACTCGGGCACTCTGGAGGGCGCGAGGGGGCCCTAGCAACGGGGACGCCGCGCCTGCGCAGTGCCTTCCACCCGCCCCCTGCGCTCTCCGCGCCTGCGCCGCCGCCTCCTGTTGCCGTGGGAACCATCCACGGTGCGCGCAGCAGGTGGGAGCTGGCCCGAGTCGGACCCCTGCCTCTCGGGGCCGGGGCGAGGGGCTCCCAGGCGGGGGCGAGCCTGCTCCGGGCCTCAGCCCCTGGCCCGTGGTCCTCCAGGCGGTCTTCCCGCTTTCCTGCTGGCCCCATTTCCATCCACCGTCCGCTCTGCGGCCTTGGGCGAGGTCCTTAATGATGGTGGTCTTCAGTCTTCCCATCTGTAAAGTGGGTATAACAGTCGTTCGTTCAGAACTTTACTGGGCATCTGTTCTGGGCCAAGAGCAGACTTAGGTTCTGGGGACCCAAGACTTAACGCAGACGCGCCCTTCTGAGTGAGGCTTAATGAGTACGAACTAAGGCGCGCGTGCTTTGTAAATGTGAAATGCAATGTGGATGTTATTAATAGTCATCCGTACGTAAATCGCTCTGAGTGTTGGCTTTCATTGCTCTTCTTTCTTTGTAGCAACTGTTGAGGTTTATTTGCACATTTTAGATCTGCAGTTCCCATTGGAACACTTCCAGGTTTAATGCTGTCAGGCGTGGAGAGGACATCCAGGTAAAAATGATCATCAGAATCACAAAACTTCTCCCCCACCGTTACTTATGAAATGCGCAAAAGTATAGTAAAAGCCAGCCCTCCACACCTCCTTCAAAGAATGGAACAAATTATTTCTCAGACGGGAAATGAAGTACAACCTTGTACAGTAAACTTCAAAAACTCAGTGAAATAGCAGCAGACAGTGGAGAATGGTGTCCAGCTTCATCTTCACTCTCCCAAAGCCCTTCAGGGGGAAGAGACCTAGTAGACACAACCCAAGAATTCTCATTAATGCTTTTTGCTACAAAGAAGACACACATCTGAAAAGACGGGAGCTGAAAGGGTGACTAGAACAAGCAAACACCTGGGGAAATCCGGCCAGATAAGACCATCGTGAGTGAAGGTCAATCCCTACGGCTCCCATGGCCTGAGCAGGGACAGGAGCAGTCGCTAGGGATTGCCATTTTCTAGGTCCCTACATTGAAGTAAGGCAACGATTTAAAGCTGAAGGGCATTTTGTCACAGGAATAGGGCACACTCCTGACAAGAGTGGGAGGATGGTGGTAAAGGAGCTTATCAAAATCTGAGGAGAGAACACAGAGTAGCCTAGAAGTTGTGTGAATTCAGGGAAGCAGCCCTTTTCCTCCATGTGTACTCAATCTCTAGAAAAGCAGAGAGAAGTATGGTATCTCAGTTCTGGAACCCAGATGCAGTGAGAAGGGAGTCAAAGAGAATTCACCCACATTATATTTGAAAAAATAGAACATTTGGAAAGAGCAACACGTGTTAAATAGGAATAAGAAAGAAGCAGCATATCAACTGTCTAAATCCAAGAATTTCATAGAAGCAGAAGAAAAGAAAGGATTATAACATGGGCAAGACGAGTGAAAGAAAGCCTGGAAGAAAATCTAACCAAACAAATAAAAGGAGAAAAATCTTTACGTGTATTCCATGTTATGGAATAAGCTAATAAGAACATTGAGGTAATCAAATAAGAATGGGGAGAAAATATAAAACGGAATGAGACAGGAAAAAAGATTACACAACTAAGGAAACCAAAAGAAAAGCAGAAGGAGTCCAATACAGAAAATAAGTTAAACACACACACACAAAGAAATAGACCAGGCACAATTCAGCGGAATTACTGATTTAGAGGAAAAAGTTGACTCAATTACAGTAAATGTAGAGAGAAAAGAGTGAGACACTTGAGCTATTTTAAAAAAAGATTAGTTGATATTCCTGAAAGACCTTCAACATTAGACTATTTTCAGAGATACAGGAAATGTTTTTGAAATAGAAGAATTAAATCTGCAGATCAAAAATTCTCATTGTGTTCCAGGGAAAACTGATATGTAACACCCAACATCAGAAGATGTCCTGGATACATTATTGAACTTCAAAGAGAAATGGTAGGAGAAATCTGGCTAGCCTCAGATTTCAATGTCAGATGAAAACGAAGCAATGTTTACAAAGTTCTTGGGGACAAGTGACCCAAGATTATTTCTACTTATTCAAATTAATAGTCCCAATATGAAAGCCCTCAGGAGGCACAACACTCATGTACAGATTGACCTGTTAACAAATGCAAATAATAGATACCCAGGGTGCACTGGCTTAAACAATAAGAATATTTAAAATCTCCCTTGACACCAAGGATAGAGGCGATGCAGTTTTAGGACTGATGATCTCAGTGGCTCCGTGACATCATTAAGGATCAGTCTTTGATGGTCTTTCTGTCTTTGGAGCTGTCATAGTAAGGATATGAAATGACTTCCTTTGTGGTCATAAAATACCTGTCACAGCTCTAGGTCTTATATCTTCCCTCTGTGGCATCCCAAGATAGAAAAGAACCAGCAGGGAAATGTGATACATGTTACTGTTTTAGAGTAATGATAATTTACCTGCATTAAGAGGTAGAGAGGTAAATGAAAGAACCCGATCAGAATTATCAGCACAGAAGGCAGGATTGGCTGTTATGTAGGCACATTCAATATGATCCACCTATGAGTTCTTCCAGCAAATAAGTCACTTGATGATGAAATACAATTAAAAGATACAAATCCGGTGAAAAGGGTTAGCACAATACTCAATATAAAAAGACAGTGTAACAAGGTTTCTCAATTCTGCAAGAGAACAAATATAGTTCCTTTGTGATTATATCCTATGAGCTTTGCCAGTTGCTACACTTATTGACCTCTTGTTCTCTGCCGGGAACTATTTAGAACCTAACATAGATCATTCATTAAATCTCATTAACTTTGTGAGATAGGTAATATTTTCATCCCCATTTTTTTCTTTTTAAAAAATTTGAGATGGAGTTTCTCTCTTGTTGCCCAGACTGGAGTTCAGTGTCACGATCTTGGCTCACTGCAACCTCCACCTCCTGGGTTCAAGCGATTCTCCTGCCTCAGCCTCCTGAGTAGCGGGGATTACAGGTTACACCAGGCCCAGCTAATTTTTTTGTATTTTTAGTAGAGATGGGGTTTCATCATATTGGCCAGGCTGGTCTTAAACTCCTGACATCAATGAAACCCAGAGAAGTTAAAACAGCTGCATATCCAAGGCCATACTCAAAATGATCATGGAGTTGGTATTCAGATCACTGGAAGTCTGGCTTCAAAGATAACACCCCTATTATCTTTTTAGTGGTAGCAATGCCTACCTTCATATTTGTTTTTTAAAAAATAGGTTTTCTGTGAGACAAATGTTACTAAAACTGGTTCTCAAAACCACCCATCCTTTAGGAAAAATCATTGCTACCTAGGTGCATGGGTACGGTAGAAAAGGTTACTTTATCCTCAGCATTCAATGATTCATACAGCCCCAGAACCAGACTGCCAGGTCTCTGGGAAAATTAGTCTTCTCGGTCTTCTTGATACATGTGACTTTTGGGCAAATATTTATTGATACTTGTTTTGTGAAAAACACAACACTCAACACTGTGAAAGAGAAAAATGTTGACTCTAATAGGAAGAATTCTGCCTGCAGGAGTGGAGGAGAGGCGGGGACCGTTCAGGGGAACGCGGCTTCATCATCACACTTGCATTTTCTTGAGGGGTAAGAGGCTGGGAAGGGCCCTTCCAGGTTGGTCATCAGATCTGCTTCCTTCAGATGCATCTAGTCCCGAGGACCCTGCCACCTCCTGAGCATCCCTTCTCTGCCAACACACTTGCAGTGAGAGGGATGCCTGACTGGTCTAGGAAGCCCATTCTGGTTTTGGAAAACTCTCACTATTGCTCTTTGGTTTTACATTGAAGCTCCAGGGAAAAACAGAACAATCCAATCCCTCTTTTATGGGTGCAGTCTTTGAAAAGTTTAAGCCCATGTCCACCTGTCCGCCTGCACCCCCGCCCCTCATCAAAGTCCTCTTGGTTACAGAGTAAGCACCCTCAGATTCTTCTGCATGACAAGATTTCAACTTCCCTTGCTGTCCTTCTCTCTGTAATGCTGTTAACACAACTTAGCAACCTTCAGACATAAACCAACGAAACAAAAGCTTCTAGTGGGAGGTGGTAGGCATGTCACCAAGTAGCAAAAGGGGCCCTTCTTTGAGTCTCCTCACCTTAGATCCATTGTGGGTTGGCCATGCCACACTCCACACTGACTCACGATGCTCATATTCAGTAACCAAATCTGCCTAGTGTCTCCTGCTGAATTTCACCTCTGTTATTCAGCATGTTCATCATCCCATCCCATTCCATGTCATCACTCAAATGATCATGTTCTCTATGACATAAACAGTATTCTGTGACAAAGCTGGGGAGCCCCACAGCATGGCACCAGAAATGAGTTCAAGTTAGCATCAATCCACAAGTTGTAAACCTGCCAGCCTTGAGATCATCTGGCTTGTATTTCTCCTTGCCCTCAACTATTTCTTTCTTTCTTTTTTTTTGTTTTGTTTTGTTTTTTTGAGACGGAGTTTTGCTCTCGTTACCCAGGCTGTAGTGCAATGGCACGATCTCGGCTCACCGCAACCTCCGCCTCCTGGGTTCAGGCAATTCTCCTGCCTCAGCCTCCTGAGCAGCTGGGACTACAGGCACGCGCCACCATGCCCAGCTAATTTTTTGTATTTTTAGTAGAGACGGGGTTTCACCATGTTGACCAGGATGGTCTCGATCTCTTGACCTCGTGATCCACCCGCCTCAGCCTCCCAAAGTGCTGGGATTACAGGCGTGAGCCACTGCGCACAGTAATATGCAGCTATAACCTATCCATAGCATTGCCTTATGTTGTACTCTTAGTAGCTATAGAACTTTACCATTAGGCTGATCTGGCATGCTTTGTGTTTGGAAACCCGAGATGATAATACTTGTTATCTCTGCTTCCTTTTCTAAAAACTCACAAATCATTTTAATGGTCTGGAATATTTCCT